GCACTGTATATGAACATATAAAATTATTCACTTGGTACTCATTGTTTGCGATGTTTGTTTGGAATTCTAAGTCATTGGATTATTTCCGTTGGCTGGGTGGATGACTGCAAAATTTGTTGTGAAGAGAAATCAAAAAGAGGTTTCAAATTGCCAGAATGGCTCGTGTTTGGATAGTATTAGCAGGACTCACAAAACTTTCACTTAGATGAAAATTCAGAGAAAAGAAAGAAACTCAGTGATTTATACTTTCCATTCAACATCTTCATGAGTACTTTATTGCAGTATTTGCCCAACTAATTAGGATCTTAAATAATTAAGATCTGTGGGCTATTTTATTTAATCTTTATTTCTGTAATAGCATCTGTCCATTTAACACAAGATAATAAGAGCATTTTTGCATCACGTTCATTAAAGTTGTTTCAATGTTTCCATTGGAGACTTCTATGTTTGTGATAACATTGCATCCAAAATTAAGCCTGAAAGGTCAGAAACTGGCCACTTTTTTAATACAAAAATTTGGCCGTTCACAAGTGCTAAATGAATACAGAAGTTAATATCTTTTTATGCTCTTTGCATTCATACATAAACACTAGCTGAGTTTCAGCTGCTCTTGACATTTTCTAGCCTTCATGCCCTTCACTAGTGATTGGTTACTTTAGTGCAGGAGGTTATACAAGTCAATTATTTTGGTTTAGGAAACTAGCTACTGTACAGACACAGTGGCTAAATATGGATAGGAACCCCTCTTTTTTACACTAATAAATAGATTTGTAAATATTTTAAGTATGGATTCATACTATAATCTTAAAATAACTCCAAAAAGTTGTTTTATATCATATTTGTACAGAATAAACAATAGGTTGCAATGTTTTCAAATTTTATATATTTTTCATTTCAGATTTTAAAGAGGAGCATAAATATGCCTTAAACAAGCAAACTCTTTCATGTCAACATTTGATTGGATAGCTAATCTCAAAAGATCTGATCGGGGAGACACTTTGAATAAAGAGTGCAGAGCCCCCAAATGCTTTATATAAGAGTAATTTCTGTTTCTGGACATTTGCTGCTTTTTAAAGCAAATATCACAGTCAGTTCCTTCTTTTAAACAATGTGCAATTTTTTAGCTGACTAATATAATAATGACTTTCCCATCTGCATTTTTAAAAATTAAAACTGTTTTCATGTTAGGCAAGATAATAATAATAATTGAAAACTAAAGGTTTTATTATTTTTGTAGTCCATAATGTAGCAGTGGCCAAAAGTATTCAAACCAAATGTAGCAAGACAGAAAATAGAATTGCTTGCTAAAAACAAATATCTGCTTACAGAAAGTTTTATAGATGTCTCGTAAACAAAAGTAAATATATAGATATTTAATAGAAATAAGGATAAACCCTTAAGCATATTAGTAGCAGTAGTCATTGATGGTTTATAGAAAACTTAATCCTTCTACTGGAAATGTTTGAACATAACTGTTAAACTCTTCTCTGTTTCTTTGAACCAAACTTGAGACAAGTTTTTTTCTTTAATTGATTTTTTTAAAGTAAGGGGTGGGCAAACCTTGAAGTCTTTTTTCAGCTGTGTCCTTCCTTTGACACAATTCCCACTGTACACAGTGAGCAAGGACTCTTTACTTATTATAGGATTTAGCTCTTCCCTGGTGAATACAGTGTCATAGATGTCATTTTGGAGATCAGCCAAAAAGAAGATGCCAGAATTCCAAGCTGCAGTCACTCACTTACAATAGTCTGGGTCAAAATGTAGCAGGAAAAAACCACCCATGAACAAAAAAAGAAGCTCTGAAGTTGTAGGTTATATGATCAGATTATTAAAAATCTATGGTTTATTCTTTGTTTTCTGGACCAACTCAGTTAATTCTTCCGTTACAATCATCAATATTTATGGTGAGTTGCCAATATGCGTAGCATTATATAAAGCATAGGGAAATACATAGCTCATTCCCTGTGTATATCTTTGGAGAAAGAAGGGGCCATAATTCTCATATGAACAACATGTACTTACAGTTATAATTTTAGACAAGATAAATATGTTCATTTTTTTTATCCTGGCTGCTCAAGGAAATGTATTTTATATTTGTTATATTTGTAAAATGCATTTTAAAATGTGAGAAGTTTAGAGCTGCATTCTGACAGGTAGATTTTTATTGAAATTAACATATATGTGAAGATTTTGTTCTTCAACAGAAAGGGATTTGCCCTTCACTGATTTTTATTTTTCCCCAGCTTCTTTTGTAATTTACAGTGTTTCCCATAAGGATGATTTTGTTTTTGTATGTCATACCTAATAAGGATTTTATTTTTTGTAGCTCATACCTAATAAGGCTTTTCCAGCTGGATGCTTGCACATTTTTTAATCATATGTGTTTCAAGCAATTATAATTGGCAACACAATGGATTAAATTAGCAAGACAATTAATCTGCTTTGAAAGCATTAGTGACAATATTAACACTGGCATATAACTAATTACATACATTTTATCAATGCAATCTGGGACTACAAAGGTTTATTAATTTGATAAAAGTCGTTCAACGTTTCAAATCTAAAATAATTTGTGTTCTTTTACTAACAATTTTACCTCAATTTGTATTGTTTTAAGGTAAAGTGTAAGTATTGATTTATTAATGTATATTTTCCCCATTGTATGTTAACATAGCTTGCTCTCATCTGTTGAGATCTTAAATCATACCAAATGGTTACCTGCTTCAGTGACTTATTTAGTCATATGTTATTATGCTAAAACAGAGGCTCATTTAATAAAAATGTTAAAGCTAATAAATATTAGCCATCAATATTTATTACGAATGTTGCACAGTGAAGCATGCTATAAACCGCAATTACACATAATGCACTCTGTGGAAGGGCATTCAAACTGATTTAGGGTTAAGCCTAATTTATGTTTAAAATATATTTTAAATGTCTTACAGATAGATAACAAACAAAACCTGAAATTCATAGCCTATTCTTGAAATTTTATTCATGTGTAATTACTGTAACCACAAGAAAACTCGCACTCCAAGTTTTCAGTTTAAAATGTAAGACAAAATATATAATGTTAATGTTTTTTTTAAAAGGAACGTGGACCTCAAGCCAAAATGAGAGGCAGAAATACTAAGACACGTAGACAAGATTTTAATTCACCTGAATGGGAGTTTTGGCTGTGTAAGCACTGCAGAATTTTGGCCAGTCCAGTCTTGATCCTAATCATGCAAAGACTTATTCACATGTTTAATATTTCATCTTGTAAGAAATCCTATTAAAATAATCTAGATTACGCAAAGGGCAGGTCTTCAACTATTGTAGGTGATTGTAGTTCAATTAACTTTAATGGAACAGCATCAATTCACACTAGCTGAGGATATGACCACTTTGAATTAAGTACATAAGTAAACTTTTGTAAGACTGGATACTTAACTAATGCTTAGGAGATCATTATGCTTCCTATTTTTTTCATATTGGCATTTTAACTTTAATTGCTGTACTTTTTGTGTGTTGTATCATGTAGCCAATAATTTTCAACTAATATTCAAGAAGTATAATGTTTAGAAAACCCCTGGAAAGGAACTGGTCTTTAAAAAAGAAGTTTTATTCTGTTCAACTTGTTGACTTCTAGGAACATAAAATAAAATGTATTAGTTGTAACTGGAGTTTCAAATATATGTTGCTGTTTTGTAAAAAAAAAAAGTAGGTCTGAAAACTGAGCACACTAATCTGTCAACTAATTAGTTTAATGAAATTTTATTATTTGGCAATTAAAGTCTAGGGTGTAATTTTCCTACAAATTCTGGTTAGCCAAGAAGATTGGCGATTTAAAGACACGTTTAATCCTGCAGCAGGTTTAAGAGACCTGGAAGACAAAAAAGCCCCAAATGTGTGTGACAATGATTATTTCAGAATATGGGCCAATATTTTAAAAGTTACCCGTAATAACTATTACTCTGGAAACCAAGAGGGTTTATCACATCTTTTATAGCACTTGCAGAAAAACTTCAGGTTTTCATTTAAAGTCTTTTGCTGCTAAACTCAAATTAGAAGCTGTATAAATAGTGCTGTCAGGCTTGCTGCAAATGCCTTTTTCATTTTACATTGTAAAATAGTGAGTAAATTAAAGAATTGTTTGCAACATTGTTAATGACATTTAAGTTGCCTATTTTAGTTAAGATATGTGCAGCTGATTTTTTTAAATTGAATTATGTAATGTTTCATAACTGGTAAACATGTGGCTACTCAAGATCGCATAACTTAGATTTCATCCATATATTTTAGTATATATTTTCAAGAGCCCAAGCATGCTTTTGATATAAGATAGTATATCTGTTATTTATGTTATAAACAAACATACAAAGTAAGACCTAACCCAAGTTCCAGGCATCCTGACAAAATACTAAAAATATGAACCTTGATTATAAAATAGAAACAAAAAATCAGCAGCAGATACCACAAAATCCAACCATCCAGCTGAAAAGATAACAAAAATCTGACATTTACAAACAGAAAAAAATAAACCACAAAAAGGCCCTCTCTTGTCAGAAACGGCTTGATTCCACTCCTTCTTAACATTTTAGCCTTTAAAATATTAACATTTGATGTTTGTTTATGTTTGAGCTTGACATAAAAGGCAGAGGAAAATAACCCATCAATATACATATGTGTCTGATTTTTTTTTTAATTTTAAAAAATGGAGCTGGCCTAAGGCTAGCACTTTCATTACATCAATGAAAGAAAGAAAACAGAAGCCAGGAGAGGAGAGTTATAGAAACTGACTTTACATAAACAGTGAGAGAAACCTTTTTCCATGACCACCTACAATGTAGCTACTTTACCATTAGTACAAGTTCTATTTTATTAGAAGTACAACTTCCAGGGCCCAATCCTGCTTTGTTTATACAGGCTAAGCTCCTGCTGGGAGATTTGTGTCTGTACAAACTACAGGATCAGGGCTCTAGCTTGTAAAACAGAGAAGAAAAAATGTTTAAACATACCTAAATTGACAAAGCTCATGACCATGTCGGCATCATTCAGAAAGTTGGTATCACGCAGGCTGGCTAAGGGAGGACTCTGTGTGGTCAAGGGGGTCATGCGAGATAATTGTATTCTCCGGGAGTATGCATTTGGAGATGTAGAATATCCTTTTCTTACCCCTCTGGTCACTCCTCCCATTGATTCCCTCAGTGAATACTCCAGTTCATCAGTATCCTCTTCATTTGTCATGGCATTGTACAGGTCCAGCATGAAGAGGGGTGCAGAAGAAGCCTGCTTTCCAGGTGAAAATGGTCTGGGTCTGTGAGGTAAACCCAAGATAGAGAGAATCTCTCTCTGGATCTCTCTTCTCTCATGGTTCCGGAGCCTCCTGTAAATAAAACTTGAATGGACATGATTGTCTCCTAAGCCCCCCTGTGCATGACCCACCAGAACCCAGCAATTCCAGAGCAAGCCCAGGAAAGCTCTGAGTGTCGTTAGGTTCATCTTTGAAAAGAAAAAAGAACAAAAATACTTCTGCTTATTCTGAGCTCCTATGAGGTCTGCTTTCCCAGTGGCAGAAAAACAAAATTTACCTATTCTTCATGTCAATGTCATCTCTAAACATAACATCTTTGGTGATTCTCCCCCGCCCTCTGTTTAAATATTATGGAATGTGTCAGGTTGCAGTTATTTCTAGGAAAGCTGAAATTCAGACTTCCAATTTTCCACTGTTGTTATCGCTTTTTCTGCATTTATGGAGCAGAAGACCAGTATTTTGTCAGCTGACCTAGGCATTCCTATAAAAACCTTAGATAACCAGGTCTTTAGTTCAGGGTTGTGTTAGTAAGAGATGATCTTCTGATACACTGTAGTTCCCAGAGTTATCTTCACTTGTTATTCTGAGTTCTTCTCACACCTTGCCCTCTTTCCAAGATAAAGTCCTGAGTCACAGATTTGTCTTGATCTCTATTTCGGTAGTATAATTTATATTTTTCCAGCAGCCTGGTGATAATTTTAACATCTTTTGAATCACCTTAATGTAAACTAATTCTTAAGCATGTACTAATCTAATTCATATGTTTCCCTGAATTTACTTGAAAAAAACTTCTGTAAATCCATTCAACTCCTGTCAGCTTCTTAACTGTTATTTCCAACTCTTGCAGGCACAAATATAACAGCTCTCTTCAGCAGAGATCTAAAGACTAATGTAAGCACAACCCTGCTGGGAAAGAAGAGGCTTCTCATTGTAATTTGAACCCGGCAAAGCAAAAAAGTCCTTAACCCTTCTGCTGCCAGACAAAGCTTCACCCACCCCCAGAACCCCAATGTACAGTAATATATGTAAATTAACTACAGAATTTGACATTTACACACAGCTTCCAGAAAAGTCCAGCTCTATAATTTAATTTTACTTCAACTGTATGTCTTAAATTTGTTAATGCTTATAATACAGATCTTTCCGTCTGTATATTAGTAAATTTGAATATAACACATTCAATTATATGACATATTAGGATTTTATTCTGAGAATTGTTTATATTTTAAGATGCTTAACTAAATGAAGATTACCCTTAAAAAAACGCCTGTATGATAATTTATCAATTAAAGCTCAGTTTACTTCTCTGTTTAAACTGAAAATTAGCAGAAGGCAATCTAAATAAAAACAAAGTCAGTAAGCAACGTATTCAAAATGCACATGTAGTTAATGGTGTAATTATACATTACATAGGTTGTAATTTGTAATTATCAATAATCATTTGTTTAAAGTGTATTTTGTGTCATAAATGACTGTACTGCATTTCCCAGTAAAAGTCCAAAACTGAGATTTAAACTATTTCTCCAATGTAGTATAACTGGATAGATAGCTAAACAGTTGCGCACAAATGCTTAACTTGAAATTATGGTTCTCATCTCCATTTTATTAAGGCCTGCACATTTGATTTTCATATAATTTACATAAATTCATAGTGTGTGTCCTAATTGTATAAAATTACCATATGGTTTAAACTTTAGGGAAACTTCCCTTAATGAGGACACAACTGGGAAGTGAGGCAGGGGCAAGAATACATAAAAAGAAAGAAAATAGGAAAAAATGAAAAAAGTTACTGAAATGCCAAATTGCCTTCAGCAGCTTTCACTGATGTGACTAGCACCTTCTCAGCAGATGACCATAGTTTTCAGTGAACTTACGAACACTACAGAAATATATTCTCACCCTAATGAGCCACTTTGTGAACAATTTCTCTACTATTGTAGGCACAAATAAACTTTTCTCATACATTCGGGTCTGCCCTTGGGGCCCAATCCAACTCTGATTGAAGCATACTGAACACTTTCCATTAAATCAAGGACCCATTCAAGGCACACTGATGATAGCCAGGCAACCCCACAGGCATTGTCAAAGGAAGGATTTATCCCATAATAGTACTGCTACTGTTAACAATGAAATTCATGGTAGAACCCTTGGTCCGTTATGAGAGAATGATCAGGATCCTACTGAGTTTTCTTGTTCCATTTATTTTCCCTCGACCACCATTTGCTGTGTCCACTATAAAGTAAATCTTAGTTTTCATTTATGTATGAACTCCCATTTGTCCTACTCAGAGGAGAGGTCGGGTATCAAGGATATTATTTTACACCTCCTCCATAATCTCCCGTAACCATATTTATTTCTCTTTTCCACCAAAACATCCCCATTCTTCTCTGCACAAACAAATTTTGTAGGACTAACTTTTGCCGGTCAACAACACAAGGTTTCAAATTTACTCAGAGCTCTTCTTTCTTCCGTGTACGTTCAACAGCTTGTCTCTTTCACCAGCTGAAGTTATATAAGAAGTGGGTCTTTGTCCACAAAAGCTATGCCCAAATAATTCTGTCAGTCTTTAAGGTGTCACAGAACTCCTCACTGATTTTAGAGATTCAGACTAACATGGCTACCCCTTTAATACTTATTCCTCTTGTTTCGCTAATATTTTGGGACTAATAGAGATACATTTTTCTCTAAATATTCATAAAAGGTCTTGGTCTGATTGCCCTGGAAACTTCAGTGAGATAACATAGGAAGTTTCTATTGTTGCCTGTTGCCCCTTAGATGAACTGAGGGCTAACATGCCTAAAGTACAAACCTGGTCAGTCAACCTTTAGTTTCTCTTCTGAAAGTGCCAACGAATTCTCTCAATGGTGAGAGTGCTTTTTAATTTTATAAACAGCTATTCAATAGGAATCAGAATAATCAAGTAAACCACTAATCATACAGTTAAGGGCAATAATTTCAGTCACTATCAAACTAAGCCAGAACAAAATACTTAAACTAGAGCTTACCTACTCTGAACCAGCAAGTCCTCCTGATTAGAACCTTTAAAAAAAAGCCCTTAATTCATTTTATGGGAACAAACATAGCATTCTTCCATAACAGTTCATGTTCTACAGACAACAGACATTTATCACAGATCTCTCACACATACGATACCATAGCCCCTCCAAAAATTAAAGGTTCTATTAGTTGAGCTGAAGCAGATATCCTGTAGCAGTTTAGATAAATAAGAACTGATTATGTCCTTTTCTTATCTCTTTTGTAGGTAGACTGACTAGCCAAGGAAGACACCTCACATAAATATAGTATAGTGGTGTCTTTTATTGGCAAGTCTTCTTCTTAGTGTATTCTCAACCTGCCTCAAGCAGCATGTGACCAGGATCAGGATTCATGATTCATCACTGAATTTGGTCCCCTAGTTGGATAATTAGCTTTCCAGGGATGCAAGACAGGAATGCTGATCCATGCCCCACAAGTATTGCTTACAGTTGAAACAAGTAGTGATATTTAGATCTGGATTGAGTTTAGGTGAGGACTCAGGTTCAATGTCAAATTGGAGCTAGGATTCAGATTTATGACAACATGAACTTTGCATAAGATTTCAGTTTAAAAAGTAACGGAAACTGTATGCAACCAACTACTTTCATAAGATTTTAGCTGCATTCAAGGCCTCTTGTGGTTTTGTATCTAATCCAGAATCAAAACTGCAGCAGTGTGTTTGAATCCGAAATTCAGATTACTTTCGATTTGAGGTTCCAGTTTTGGCTCTCTCTAAAACCAACAATCTTTATTCCAAAATACAAATATGCACAGAATTTATATACGAGAGCATGTAAGCAATCTCTTGCCAGACCTAGCAAATGACATTAACCTCATAACTGGTATGTCCAGATCACTCTACAGATTGGATGACATTAACAAAAAATAATAAATCCTGGAAATACTTTTGCTTGGGAAATAGCCATTCGCAGATTCAGGATGCCTGACCATACATTTCAACAAATAACAGTTCCAAAGTCTGCAGCAGGTTACTGCAGTAACTGAATGTGGCATTTTTATTGGAGGACACTGCTGCTCAAAACTATGCACAGTAAGTGACATCTCAGTAGAGTGCTCTGCTAGACTCAGTATCTCACATCAGTTTACACTCACAAAGTGATGATAGCGCTGGTTCTCTAGAAATAACTGGTTTGCTGCACACAAAGTAGAGGAAATCACAATTTAAATGAGATGGAGACAATATAGCTGAGGCTCCAATTGTCCTGTCAAGTCTATGAATGCAACTGATGGAATATATCCACCCCCAAAATTTGTATCATACATAAAAAGAAGGTTGAACCTTAATGCTGTGCAAGTTTGCTCTTTGTTGGCATAATTATTTTCTCTCTTGAGTTGTGGTTGAAAAAGGAAGAAGAGATGTGTGGAGAGATTTCACTAACTGAGAGAAATGATGTAGAGCACAAGGAGATGGTAAGATTTCCAAGCACAAGAAACAGCATTGAAGGAGGCAACATGTGGGAGGAGCAAGAAGGGCCACCTACTCCTCCTCAAATGCCTGGGCAAATAAGTAGAATGTGGGGCCGCAGGACAGCACTAAGCCAGCTGCACCACCGATGTGGCTGCACTGTCCCAGGCCTATCATGCAGATGCATCTCTTTGGGTCTGTACAGCCCCACTGGAGGGCAGTGCTGGTGCTATGGACTGACACTGACCATCCACAGGCATGGAACTCTGCAACACCCATCGTTTGCTGTTCCTGGCCATTGGTAACTGCGAGAAACGATGTGGGCTACAGGGATACACAGTCCAACTCTTCCCACAGCTCCCATTGGCTGGGAATGGTGAACTGTGGCCACTGGGAATTACAGTAAGCCATGCCTGCAAGTGCTCAACATCAGCAAATAAACTTGCAGCCTGCCAGTGGATTCCCCTGATGGGCTGAGAGCCAAAGGTTGCTAACCCCTGGCATAGGGCCATAGATTACACTGAAGTTATGCATGGAACTCTAAAAAGGAATTCTGCTGGCAGAGTAGAGAATATGATCTATATTGGAATTTTTAATTATATTTAATGAGTCAGAATAAATTGCTGAGATATTGCTGAAATTAAGTGCTGGAGACAAGTGATGCAGCATATGATTAAATGCAACATACCTGAATAAACATCTTTCATTCCAGAGGTCCCAAAACATTTTCTAGTTACATAGTATGGATAGGAATAGCTTTATCTGTCATTATATCACAGCAGGATGAGGAAGATGCCATATTAAATTCTAATCTCAAGGGAAATTTAGATTAGTCTTTGGCCTTAATATTTTACCAGGAAATATTTCTGCTAATGTCCCTATTGTTACAAGTTCATGGGATCAATAACTAAAAAGGATCTATATTTCTTGTTTCATTCAGATGAATGCCCTGCATCGCAAGTGTCCACTACATAGAGAACCTGGTTCAGTACTGACCCATAGCTAAGTGCTACCTAGTCAGTTACCAACACAATTTTCCAGAGAAGTGTATATTTCCAGAGGTTTCTCATCCAATTCTTGAAAAGTTCAGGCAAGTCTGCAGCCCTGGCCAGGGGGTATGTCTTCAGGCATTTGATAGAAATCATATAACAGAATAAGCGATGAGGAATCCTGTGGCACCTTATAGAGTAAGGGTATGTCTACACTTGAAGTCTAATTAGAACTAGGGTTGCAAATGTAGGCACTCAGAATTGCAAATCAAGCCCAGGATTTAAATATCCCACGCTTGATTTGCATCTTCCCAGCTGGGTGCCATTTTTTAAATTTACAAGCCCGAAGTAACTGCCCATGTCTACACGCGGCAGTGAAACGGGCATTCAAAATAAAGCCCTAGTTTGAACTCCCTGTTAAACCGCATTGCAGGAGGAA